TCCATGTGCCTTTAACTAAAAATGAGATAGTAAGAGGTGGTGAGATTTCGAATGTATTTTAAAAGCATAGCCAAGATCTGCTGATTGATTGTCGGGGTGAGGAAAAAAAGATATCAAGAACAACTCCAGGAATTTTAAGCTGAACAATTAGAGGAATCAAGTTGCCATTTACTGAGATAGGGTGGGCTGCCTGGGTGAGTAGCAGCTTTGGAAAGGTAACCTAAGAGCTCAGTTATGAACGTCTTAAAGTTGAGATATCCATTAAATGTCCAAGTGTAGAATAAGAATGCAATTGAGGGGCGCCTGGGTGGCTCAGATGGTTGGGCGTCTGCCTTCAGCTCAGGTCATGATCCCAGAGTCCTGGGATCGAGCCCCGCATCGGGCTCCCTGCTCCTCGGGAGGCCTGCTTCTCCCCCTCCCTCTGCAACTCCCCTTGCTTGTGTTCCCTCTCTCGCTGTGTCTCTGTCAAATAAATAAATAAAATCTTAAAAAAAAAAAGAATGCAATTGAGTAGGTCAGTTTGGAGGAAGTCTCACTAACTGGTGAGTTGATCTAGGCTGAAATAACTATTTTGGAAAGGTTAGCATATAGATGGTATATAAAGTCACGAAGCTAGGTAAAGAACCCTGGCTCTAGGGTGAGCCTAAAGAGCAAAGAGTTCCAAGAACTAAGCCCTGAGACATTTGAGGAGAAAGGACAAAAAGGAAAAGAGAGGGAAAAACAATGGTGAATGATGTGGAAAACAAAGGAAAAAGAAAAATTATTAAATTTCCTTACTATCTACAGCCCACTGACAAGTCTTTGAAACAGGCAGAGTGACATTCCTCTAGGGACTCAGCTGCCTCTATGTTGACACTTTGCTAAGGGCTAAAGGCAATCCTAACCTGACCCTCAGGACTCTGTAAGTCTACTTTAACATATAAAAATTCCTTTATCTTTAAACCCCCAAGATACATGTTGGCAATCATCCGCCAAGCATATGGCCCACCGATATACATATGAAGGGTCTCATGACTAAGGTTTTATTAGACGGTAATAAATGACCTTTTCCCAACAATAGCTAGCCCCGTCAAGGTCCCGGAAACCTTGCTGCCAAAATTCCTTAGAGACTTAAGCTATCCCTAACTGCCTTCCAACTTGAAAGTATATAATGGGCCATTCCTCATGACCCCGGTGCAGCTCCTTCTGCCCACGGGTCCTGTCCCCATGCTTTAATAAAACCACATTTTTGCACCAAAGATGTCTAAAGAATTCTCTCTGGGCTGTCGGCTTTGGACCCTAATGTCTTTCCTACATCAGTGAGTAGGGAAGAAGGAGAAGCAAAAGAGAGTGGTGGCCCAGAAGCCCCTATTTCAGGAAGGGTTGCCTGGCAGTCCTAAAGGTCCCTTTGAGGTTTATGATCATGAACTTAAAATGAGACTCATTTCAAAATAGTTGGAGAAAAACTCCAGCCACATTTAGCTCCTGGGGTATAGGCATGGAAAGGTGGAGAGTTGTATTTAAGCAGGATCAGGTTTTCCCAGGAGACTATGATTGGGGTGGGCACTAGGGGGGCTAAGGGAGATGAGAGTGTATGAAAGGAAGTCACTGTAAGGATGGACCATGGACTCTATACTTTGTAAGAAGGGAAGGGAGGACATGGTAAGTCAATGAACTGGAAGATCAAAGAATTATTGAACTATGAGTATCATCCCTGCAGGGTCTTAATATGATAATGTAGCTCAGACCACATCATTAATGATCATTCAAAGATTTTGTGCCTACATGGAAAGACTAGTTCCTAAAGAGTGGTAGATTAACAGGATACTGAAAAATAATAATTACATTTGAGATGCCTTACATTTATACAGTGCTCTCATGTTTTTCAAAGATCTTTTTCTCATTTTACATTCTCAAATATATCATGGCCAGAGAAGACAGCTTTACTGAAGTCTCAGAAGTCTTAGAAGTCTTAAAAGAATCAAACTGGGACCCTATTTCCTAGATTAAAACACATTTGGATATCCACTTATCTTCTAAAATAAATATATTAATATTGGGTGTTTAGCTGATATGGTTCTATATATAATTATTTATACAACTTATATTATTTATCTTTTCCTATTGAAAATAATAAATCGGTTCTCAAACAAGACCCAGAAACAAATAATGTTATCACGAAAATGTACACTATCCATTGAATTCAAAGAGTAGACAGTAGTGTGACATTTGACGTGTCCGTGGAGATTCATGGGCTGGGTCTTGAAAGTGTTGAACTTGGATATCTATGGATATGTTTTCTTTCTTGGATAAAACTGTCAGATGGAGCTCAGCATGTAGCTCTGGCCATTGGACAGATCTTACAGAACCCTTCAAATACCCACAAAGGAACTACATTATGAAACTTCTCCAGCCTTATTCTCTACACTTACCCCAACTTCATACCTTTGCACGCTCTATTCCCCTTTCACCTGAAATGCTCATCCCCAAACCTTGCCTCTTTCCCCCTAATAAACCCTATGTACCCTCACAGAAGACTCGGTATTAAGCCCAGTGTTAAGTTAGTTTTTCCTAATTCCCCTCAAGTTAAATGAATTTCTCCTTAGATCGCTCTGTGTCTCTGTCTGGTTTTCTTAGCACATGCTCTTTTGTTTTCTAGTTATTCTAAGCATGTGTTTGTCTTGCCCACAAAACAAGCTTTTTTGACAACAAGGACTTCTGTGTAGTTTCAAAAAGTTCCTAGGATCAATTTATGCACATAAATGATGCCTTTGAAAAAAGCTGGATAAATTATATTAGGTGCACCAAGGGCCAACCTGGGCTGGCAAGGAACCTCTTCTGGAGAGGGAGAGCCAGAGGACAGGGCTGTTGGTGCCCAGTCCTCAGCAATTCCAGGCAGCTCTGGAGAAGTCCCGAGAAGCAATTAGATTTGAGAATTGTGTCTCCTTCCTGCACCCTCTATTCTTGGGTGGCTCTAGACCAGAAAGTTTCTCCCTGTTTCAAATCCTCAACCAAGGAAGGTTCTAGAGGCCTTTTAGGTTTCCTAGCATAAATGTCAGAAATGCCAGCATAAACAAGGTGTAACTTGGGGAGATATAGTGTATTGGAGTGAAATGTTTGTTTTCCAAGAATATTTCATTTGGTGATCTGTAATTGTATTATTTTTGTTGTTATTATTTTATTATTAATAATGTGGCATGCCTTAACTACTGCATTTATGCAGGTATGTTCTTACCCCATCTCCCACATCCAAGTCCCAAAGGCCCCCTTCCCACTCTGTTCTCCTTCGCTCTCTCTGCTTCCTCCCAGTCCCAGCCCCCAGCACACTTAGACAGGTGACAAAGCTAGCCTCCCCTAAAGGAAGTGGCTTGCCTTCAGGAGCCTCCCTCTTCTTGCTTCTCTTTAAGCATCTAGAGTCCCCAAGGTGCTGCCCCTATTCCTGGTATCTTCCACTCTTTACAATTTCTAGTGTCCTCCTCTGCTTCTATCCAAATTTGATTTTTTTCTCTCAGGACCTCGACCTCCATTCTCTACTATAGCAACTGGCTCTGCACTAAATGAACCCACACCATTCTGACGAGTAGCAGCATGTTAAAAAAAAAAAAAAAAATTCTAGTCACTCTTCCTTATTCCTCCTTATTCATTTTGACAGTGCCCATTCATCTTTACTCTGCTCATCAAATGCGTTACTTCCAAAATCTATCTAGGCCAAAAGGGTAACTCAGACATTTGCATTGTGCCTGGCACATGGTAGATCAACCCAATAAAATATTTATTGAATGAATGAATGAATGAATGAATGAGCTCAAATAGTGGGTGTGTTTGGCTTCATAGTGAGGTAAAATAAAAGCCAGACTTTTAATAAGAGGAGCATTTTTAGATTAGATAAACAAGGTTTACTCTCACGGTTGACCTTCCTCATCAATGTCCAGCTAGGCCTACTCCCATATTTTGACAAGACAAATTAGCTTCCCCACATACTTACTCCTCCCACCTTTTTTTTTCTGTCTGATTTGATAGTTATTTCCACCCATAAAGGCTTTGTCTTTACCACTTCTTTGAAAAACGCTGAATTAGATGAACAACTTCTTGCTTCCCTGAGATGCAACAGAGAAAATCTAGTCACTCTCCACCCTTCCCCACCTGCTCTCCTCCTCTCTCCCCATCTCCTTGTCTAGTTCTTCCCACCTTCACACCTCAGCCTCAGAGGCCCCTCCAACATTCTGGGGAAACAAAGAAAAGGAAATCTGAGGGTGCTGCCCAATCATTAGCTGCCTAATCCTTCTTTTGTAGCAGACTTAGCTTGAAACTTGGGTGAAAAGGAAATCTTAAGAGCGCTTTTCCCATACAAATTTTCTCCCTGCTTTTTATATTTTCTCTCACAGATGAACAAACATCAGATGTGACCTGATGAAAGGCTTACAAAAGCTGTCTTCCCTCTTAGCATTTGGAAAAAAACAAAAATAGAGAATTGTTTAGTTGTCTAGATCCCTACGAAATTTGCCATAATTACTGGAAATCCTGACCAAGTTACTGTCTTGACATAAATGATAATGAGACTCCAAACAGAGGAGTCATGGGTGATGGCAGGCTCAGGCCCTCGATGCTCACATACTTCCCTCCCTCTTTTAAAGAGTGCAAATATGCAGAAAAAATGGGGGAAGTGGCACCAAGACGGTAAATTTCTCAGTGTGCAAAAATTAGACTTTTGCATCAATGGCAACCGAGCCTTCCCAAATTTTAAAAGGTGTACACCTGCAAATGCTTCTGTTCATACTGTATGCCAAGAATTAGCACTCTCCGGTCATGTTCTGAGTGTCCAACCTTTCTATCCTGCTTGAAACAGATGCTACTTCCATGCCAATCACCACCACCTGTGGTTGCCATGTGTCATGTTGCATCGCATAGATGTAATGCCATCCCGCCATCTCTTCTCCACTCCTCATTTTATCCGAGCATGTAGTGTGCTGTGACTCTGCTGCTGTATACACTCTGTATACATTTCTGTTCTTCCTTGCAAGATTGTGAATGCTTCGGCCACTCCAATCGATGCAGTTATATCGATCTGCTCAATACAGTCATTTGCGTGAGCTGTAAACACAACACTAGAGGGCAGCACTGTGAGTTATGCAGGCTGGGCTACTTCAGAAATGCTTCTGCACAGCTGGACGATGAGAATGTGTGCATAGGTCAGTTCCATTATAATTTCAGCTATTGTTCTGTGCCTTTCGAGCTATGGGGAGCTATTTAAGGTGAAGAGGCTGTTGAGTTGCACCACGGCTGAGCCAGAATGAACTTTCTCAATGGAGAAAACATCCTTGTGGTAGACTTAAAATTCTCTTGTGCTGGTTGAATTGGGGGATATATCCTGAATCCTTATGTTATTGTTGCTTTAAAGATGGTGAGCCAAAAATCATGTTTAGAAGATAAAGAATTTTCTCTTATTCTTTCTTCCTTCCTTTCTTTCTTTTTTTTTTTTTTTTTGCATGCAATCTTAAAACCTGGTAATATCAAACTGATAAAGTCTTAAGTTGTGCATTCAACTTTTAAGATGGAAACTCACACTATGGGATTTAATTATAGCTATGAGAAATTAGGATAAACTCTTGCATATAACTGGTAACCAACAAATATCGATTGATTAAAAATATTGCCATTTGGAATTGAAAGCCATTAGCAATTGGTAATATAGAAGTTTGCCTGACTTTTCCATCCGTAGTAATGAAATTCCATTTATTTAATTTTCTTATAGCCCCCAAAAGGAGAAGCAATTTCTCAAAGCTATTGTAGGCAATTAATTCTCTTAGCTTCCAAGGTAAATAAGCTCTGGGCAACTGGGTCCACAGCGTTCTCTCAAGCGCTCTCCCCCACCCACCATGACTACTTGAGCAGTAGTCAGCATAAACAAGGTGAGAACCTGCCCTTCCCACCCAAAAAAGTTTCTCCAACCTTTTGCGTAGTGGAACCCATCTTTAAGAAAGGGAGCTGATGGAAAAATAAGAAATAATAAATGGAATTTCACTTCACAATTTACTTTGAAGAAATGCATATATTTGAAATGGTCAAGGGTACGTGCATATCTGTTACCTCACCAGCAGGTCGACACAGGCAACTAATTTTAAAAGTAGAATTTTGCACATAGAGACTAATTTAAATAGAAAACACATGCTGAAAAATGGCAGGCAGTCTTTTGATCAAAAAAGAAACCTAATTAATTTGCAATTCTGGGGCATTGTTTTCTGATTGGATTGTCAAGGTCATGTAGCCACTTGCCCAGGATCACATAATATAGCTATACAAGTTGTTTTGAATTCAGTTAGGCCAAGTTTACATAATACTGTTTATATCTACAGTATGTTCTATTTTTCAAAGTGCCTCCTTATCTATTATTTGTGAATTAGTGGAGAAATCACTGGACTTAGAGGCTGAAGAGCTGGGTTCACGTCCCAGTTTGTTATTTAATAGCTGTGTGCCTTAGGTAAGTCATTTCAGAACTCCTGGTCAAACTGGGATCATATGGGATACACAGGAAACACTTGGTAAACTGTGAACTCACTTGCAAATATGTTTTTTCTACTTAATCTTCATTAACAAAACTGTGGGTAAGTATTCCACTGATAATTTCCTCTATTTTCTAGTTGAGAAAAGTAAGGCAAGTTGACCCAAATCATATAGCTTTCTTGAAGAGTTAGTTTTCTGACTTCAAAGCTTGAACACCTTCTCCCAAATATCCTGACATAATTAGCAAAACTAAGCTTGTCAGACTTCTAGTTATGGTATGCTTTTTTGGATGACAGTAACAATTCCACTATGAGCTTGCAAACAGAAATTCAATTGCCTTTCCAACTACTAGGGCTACAAAGATTTGAGGTTATCAATAACCCAAAAGACATGTAGCTGTCAGAATTTCGAATGCAGAGTTACATTTCACTGAATGTCATTTGTCAAAATATATAAATGTCATACTATAAATATGGAAACAAGAGAAAGGTAAAATAAATAGGAACAGAGGAATAAAAATCATTTATGTAAAACACCTAAGATTAAAATATTTTACAGTGTTAATTTCATATTATTTTAAATGAACAAAGAAAAGGCCCTAAAAGAAAAGATTTTATTCCATATAATATTTCATAGGTAACAACTATATCCCAATGTTTTACTCAGAATATTCTATTCTTATGAACTTTGGCCTTTTTCCAGTCCTAAAATAATCTTATGAACTATAAAATCTGCACTTCCTATTCAATATTAAAAGGTATAGTTGTGTTGTAAATCTATGTTGGATTATCTCCAGACAGGAAGAAAGCCTATTTAGCTTTTGTCTTTTAAATAGCATGAACTAGAGATGAAATATGGAAAGCTTAATATACATTTTTTCCTTACTTAAAAAAATCAAAAGCAGTTGTTTTCTCCATTTCTAGAAAGTTTATTAGTTAAAATTATAAACCTTTGGGGAATTTTATTTTGTTGAAACAAACATGTTTCTATTCAGTATTTTATACTCTTCAAACCAAGTAAATTAGTAAACCCAAAGATGAGAATTTTTAAGTACCATTGAAATTAGTGATAATATTCCCCACCTGCCAAAATTCCTTAAATTGCTGCCCTTTTCCTAAGGAGTAAAATTGTTTGTAAAGAATAAATTGAAAAATGTGGCTAGCTGGTGTATGTTACACTCAATCTTTTGTCTCGAGTCTATATATGCATACAATGAATCAATAACTATTTCCTAAAAGAGCTATGGATTCTGCTTTTCCCACTTGAGGTATCAGGGCTGCCTATCCACCAGGCTAACGCTGGAGTTTGCTCTCTGAGGGCCATTGGTAGCCTGTGGCTCCCTATTGCCAAGGTTTGCCCTATGGAAAAGCATGAACCAATTTCCTCTTTTCCACAGTTCAGCTCCCCAAGAGGCTTGAGGCAGGACTGAGAATTAAATTTAAGAGCATACACCACAAGTAATTGAGAGTTTAATACCTTTTTGTATAGAAAGCACAAATGAAAATGAATGGATATTTACCTAATTCACTTTCACAGAATTAAGCGCCAATCTTGGAAAATTTGAACTTCATCTAAGTCTTCTCTAATTCTGAAGAAAAGAAAGGCACTTTTGTCAGTTCTTTAACAAATGACAGTGAAATCCACCACCCTGGTTATAAGGGAATAGCCCCTATCTTTGACAAAATGTAGACTGCATTGAAATAGATGTCATAAACTATTTGCATCATTTTATATTATGGCAAATATAAAATGCAGACTATTTCGTGTTGCCACAGTGATTGCTTTTTTGTGACTACCGGTGAACTTACCCATTTTCATACAAATTCCAAGCACAGCCATGTCTCCAAAGATGCATGTAATTACCCTGTATGACACAGCAATTACATGAAGCTGACTCCCTTGCATGCTTCTGTTTCATATAAACTCAAGCATTAAGCAGGAAGCTAGAGGATATGTGGTTCATGACCTTGGATAATCACTGCTAATAATCCCTGATAACAAGCTTGACATCAGAATGAAACACAGGGCTCAGCAATTACTATTAAACATATCTCAAATTAGGCTGTATTATTTTTTATACCCCTTTAAACCCAAGATCAGGTAACCAGAGGTACCTTCTATAGATAAAACACTTCTAACACCTATAAATCAATTGTAGTATAACTTTTTAATCAAACCTCCAAAAATATTTCATGTTGTTTTAGCCTAATAGTCCTGCATGTTCTTTCTAATTTCATGGAATAAAATATAATACTCCAAGGCCATCACCAATATCTACCATTGGCTGTGATCCCACAAATGATATTTTTTTAAAAAACTAAGTTATTTGTACATAAGGTGTTGTGTAGACCACACCTCTCCTTGTCACTTATTTTCATTACTGTTTGAATAACACTACACTTAATCACCTTTTCCTATGACAACTACTGGGATATCCTACGGTGTAGATGTTCCACATTTTTAAAAAATTTTGTTTACTTTCTTTGCATCTAAACCCTTATATGAATATAATTGCTATGAGCTAATTGACTAGAGTAGCACATGAATTCATGTTGGCCAGATATAACTCTACTCCTTGGTTTACGAAGTGTTGGTGACTCATTGTCAACTTATACACTTTAAATAGTAAGAAACAAAGTAAGTGTTGAGTAATTATAAATACATACTTATAATATAAATGTACACACAACATTTTTAAAGCCACAACAAAATCACTGTTTTAAAAAACAACTCCCATATACACACACATTAAGATAAAAAATGCCCACTTAAAATAAAACTTCAGTTATTAAGCACAAACCAAGCCCGGCAAAGAGGGAGCATTTTAGTTTATTTAGATTCATTTTTCCCTCCATATGTCTCTATTAGTCTAATGTTTGTATCACAATAATGCTGAACTCAAAAACTGACTTAATCAACATGAAATAAGTCATAATTCTAAGACCCTCTACATTCTTTGACAAAATTGTCAAATTAATCCCAGTGACAAAAACAGAGCCAAACCTCCAGACCTTTTTGTAACGTTAAAGCTTGAATCTCTGTTGCCAATCTAAAACGCTAAACTTGATGCTTATAAGCTGAAGTTCTCAGGGCTTCTCTTGGTTGGTTGCTTGGTATTTTATTTGGTTTTTAAAAAGAAAACCTCTTAATGGGGCATTTTGATATAAAGGAAACAGAGTGACAGAGAGGCTTGCCCAGATTATACAGTAGGGTAATGAGGAAAGAAACCTTGGCCCCCAAATTCCAAAAGCTGCAAACTAGCCGTTGTTGCCTTTCAAACTAATGGAAACCTAAACAATTCCCATGTCAGATTCAGCCTTTCAGCAAGACAGAGCTTCCGAAGCAAAAATATCGTGTATAAGAATGTGTAAGTCATCAAGAAAACATTCTATTTACTTTTTACTAGACAAAGTTGTATTGTCCTGAAAAACACGTGTCTCAAATTATGCCTATGTTGAAATTTACTTGGGATTACAAACTTTATTTTTCTTTCATGATTGTTAATCTAGGCTGCATGAAAACCCTACTAAGGTGCCTAGCATCTAAACAACATCTACAGGCTCCTCACATGAACAAAGTGCATTCATATTGCACTTTAACAATGTTCAGCAGTTCTCAAATATTGAGTGTAACAGATAAGCCTATTTGAATAATTTAAAACAGATTTTACACTGATGGCATATTGATTTATACTTGATATACAGACTTCTCATGGTGTTCATTAAATCATCTAAAAATGCCCTAACAAATGGAATCTCTATTATGATCTGTTAGCCATGAAGAACATGATGTCTTATTTCCTCGAAAGTTTTCAGTTAATTTCCTCCCATATCATAAAAATGGCATCATGGCAGGCGGAGAAATCAATACACAGGGCCAAAATCAACCTATTTGCCAAAGCATTTGATTAGCGGGCATCTTCCGTTAAGTAAGAGATGCATTTAAGTGACGCTCCTGTGTTGATAACCTATAAGCCATGCAGACTTGTCTCCAGCCTGTGTGTTGTCTTGTTTCTACAGAGTGTTATTGTAACCCTTTGGGCTCAGTCCATGATCGTTGTAATGGCTCAGGATTTTGTGAGTGTAAGACGGGAACAACAGGGCCTAAGTGTGATGAGTGTCTGCCGGGAAATTCCTGGCACTCCGGCTGTCAACGTAAGTAACTCTGGGAGCTGCCCTCTGCCTGCTGCAGCATGGCTGATTCCGCTTGTCTAGGCCAGCGCGTGCAGCTTCTCAGAGCAGAAAAAGACCCAAACCATTGACAAGCTTTAAAAGCTGCTTAAGGCCCCAGCCTACATAGAGGAGAGAGAGAGCAATCCATCAGCTGTCCAGCTGGCTTCTTTGAAGCCCGTCTTCTTCCCCTCTGAATGCGGGAGCAACTTATATTGAAATATTGTGCTCAGATCCAGGTACCTGGCCAGACCATAAATTAAGTGGCACAATAGGGACCCAGCTTGGAAATTCTCACCGCAAAATGAAGGGTGATGTGTATGTGGTTAATATATTTCTTGAACTGAAAACTACCCCGGAGCTCCAGAGTTCATAAATTAAATGATATTTACATAACTTATTACCGCCCCTGCTATCACACCCATAGCTGAATCTTAACCAAAAACCTGAAGGCAATAAATCTAAAGGATATTTAAATGCCAGGGTAAAATAAATGACAAAAATCAATATTGATTTTAAGCCTCTGAGGTTAGGAACCATGCAGCGAGCCTCAGACAGATGCCATTTGGTTCAGCTTCATTTCTCTGGGGATTATCAGGCCTTCCTAAAAGCTTGTCAGGCAGGTGGCATGTCGGCGTATTCAGGGAATAGAAATTTAAAAATCTGAGCAGAAGCTTCCTTCTGTCATTCATAACCTTTTCTGCTTTTTCATTATGCACTAACTTTCTAGTCTATCTGTACACATTTAGCTTACTAATATTAAAGAGCCACCAGGCAAATCCTCTGGAGCAGTGCGGTCCAATAGCAAATTGTGCAAGCCACGTACGGAATTTTCAGTGTTTTGTTACCCACATTTAAAAAGTAAAGATAAATAGAAGAAACTGATTTTAACAACTTACTTCATTTAACCTTTAAATACCTCAAATAGCATCATTCAACATATAATCAACATCAAAACTATTAAGGATGCATTTTACATTTTTTTCATACTATATTTGAAATCAAGTGTGTGTTTTATACTTACAGAACATCTCAATTAGGACTGACCATATTGCAAGGCCTAATAACCACATGTGTCTACCATATTGGACAGCACAGCTCTGGACCTTCCTTTGCTTACTTTTCACTTGAAAACAATGTCAGTATGCAGGAACTGTCTAAAGCCAATTCCAAGACCATACAGAATATTTCACCGGCTACTTGTGGAATTTATAGTCATCTGTAAGCTACGCTTCTACACAATGTAAAGCCAAAGTGAAATTTACTGCCATACTATTGCCATGGGCAGCAAAGAACTGTGGTGATAGTTTGAGAAATCTAGCACTGAGGATGCCAAGGTTAAGATGGGACCCCGGAGCTGGAGGTGAGCATCTCCAGCCATACTGGAGAGGAACGTTAACAGACAAATAGGCAGCACATCTGCACATAAGCTCTGCATAAGGTCATGGTTTAAAAGTCCTGCTTGCCATAGATTCCTAGAAAACACCTTAGGGGGTTGGATGACTTGGTGGATCCCAAGGACCATGTGAGGAACCAGAACTCAAAGGAGAGTCGTTGGTCCTGGAACATCTGGATGTGGAGGCCCAGAGAAAGCCAACAGTCAAGAGGAGAGAAGGAGGAACAGACAGAGGAAGGACCCAAACCAGCCCAAGACTCAAGGCATACGTTGTAAGGAGACTTTGCAATTAAGACACTCTTCTCAAAAAGAAAGGCTCATGTAAACTTCCTGATGCAGCAGGACCTAATGAATAGGTGTAACCAGGGAAAGGCATTAGAGAGGGAAACTAATCCAGCCTTAGGGGAGGTATATCCCAAAAAGGTCCTAACTTGATTTTTCTGGATTAATTATTAGAGTATTATAAAAAGGTACAATGTCACCAAATTTTCCCTTCTGGAGTTAGAAGACTGGATTACGTGTGGCCCTCCCACATAAGGGCTGTGTGATGCACAAAACCCTCTGTACCTCAGCTCCAGCACCTCACATCCTTGGTATGTATGGATCAGTGAGATTATGGAAGCAAATGCTTTATGCTTTATCCTCTTGAGTATTTCTTGAGTACCTACCGTTAATTAGGCAATGAACTAACAGTAGAGGCTGCAAGATGAAGAAAGATAGCTGCTGTGGACATATGGGCATGGAGTTCACAATCTGAAGTGAGAGGCTGACATATAACACAACAGTTTTGACAGAGGTAATCAGAACTAAGAAAGAGCTATGTATGTGCTTTTAGTGAAGCCCAGATAGAAGCGAGCTTCCCAGAGAAGCAATGTTTGGTTCAGTACTGAAGGATTAGTAGGAGATTTCCAGGATGGAACTTCTTGAGCAAAAATACGTGAGCTAACACGCTGTGTTCCAGAATATCAAATAGTTTTGATACGATGGGAGGATAAGGTGTGTGTGTGTGTGTGTGTGTGTGTGTGTGTGTGTGTGTGTTGGGAGGAAGGGAATATGCTCAAAAGGCAACCTGAGACCAGATCACATGCTTTCATGAACACCAAGCTGAGGAGTTTCTTCTCATCAGGGAGGAGACAGACCTGGGGTCCATCATACACTTTTAGACAGGGGAATGAATGAAATGGTCAGAATTTGTTTTAGAAAGATTATTCTGGCTGCTCTGTAAAGGAAGGACTGGAACAGGATGAGACTAGATTTGTTATATCAATTTAACATATTTCACATATACCTTTGAGTATGCAATAGCTTTATCTCACTCTGAAATCTTTTTTTCCTTCCCTCAGATCCACGCATATAGGGCTGATATTCTATGCAAAAATATTGAAATTTCTGCTGTCAGTTGATAAATGGCTACAGTATGAGGATCCCTAAGTGCCTTCCCCTGGGATCTCTCAGACCATCCCTAAGATCCACCAACTAATGGGGTAACACCTGTCATAGTAAGGTGCCTCCAGCACCAGTGTTATAACAGATACTCATTCTAATTAGTTGACGATTAAGGTTGACAAATATTTTTCATATCACTCCCATGTCTGCACACACATGAATGCCCTCAAAAATGCCCTTCCAAAAAAAAAAATGCCCTTAAAGTCAATCTCTCTCTTTCTCTCTTCCCTCCACCCCCGCCCCTACTTCTATTGAGTTGAATGCATCCTTGGGTTAACCTCATTATCAGTGGCAGTGATTAACCTGACAACAAGAAACCAATGCCAAGAAGAAAGCAGTGGTAGATAGAGCAGGCAATGGTGCTGGCTGTGAGCCATGAGCTACATAGTAAGCAGACACACTTAGGCCCTGGGCTTGAATTGCATCTCTACCTCTTACTTGCTGCAAGACTTAGAGGAAATCACTTAGACGTCTATCTCTAAGCCCAGTTGTTTTGGGTTTTTTTAAATCTCAAAATGGGGGTAATACTAGGACATCATACATCTGGTAATCATGAAGATTGAAGGAAAATAATGAATGTGGACTTCATGGTACATAGTAAGCATTCAATTATTTAATTCCAAGCACATGTTGATGTATCAAAATGCTAGGAAAAGCCGTGTTTAAAACTTATTGTACAATGATAGTGCAGAACATGCAGCAAGATTAGCCACTGTTGAAATTCCAAATTGTTGACCTAGGAACTTCTAAAAAGCCCTTGATTACAGGCAAGGCTGATTTAAGAGATTGAAGTGAAGCTGACCCCAAAAACAATGGTGTGGCTTCCGCAGGGGAAATGAAGAGCTCCAGGCTCAAAAGTGAACCTTCTGCCTCAGGGGGCCACCCGTTGTATGTAAGCTAGTCTCTCTGACATAAATGGTGAAACACTTGAAAACCATCAGAATGAATGGTCTTTAGACTATTGGCACACCCAATCCAGGAAAGAAAGCAGAAAAAAAAGATTTCAAGGAGACCAAGCAGAATCAAAATTAGTTGAGATTCCTATGAAACACTGAGGAGAAGCAGTGTTTTTGTTGTTTGTTTTTTTCTGTGCCCCCTTGAAATTAGTGAAGAGGGATGAGCCACATTCCAGAGAATAAAGCTAAGCCTTCACAAAAGGAAGCCACATCCCATGCTTCAGATAAAATATGGAGGGTTAACATGTATTGGGAAGTAATGAAAAACTTGTCACCAGCACCAAGGAGATTGGACATAGAGGAGGTTTGTGATGTTTTGGTTTGGAGAACGGAATGGAAATAGCCACACATAGAACCGATGAGGCTGGAGAGGAGGTGTGTTGTTTTCCTGGAGGATATATAAGGATGTAAAATAAATATATTAAATGCATATGAAAGCTACCAACAATCCCCCATTTTTACCTAGTTTGTATGAATGGTGATTTCAAAGGAACTTATAGTCTAAATATTTGGGTTAAAGTCAAAAGATTTGGTGACATAGTTCAGTGTTATGATTTGGGAAGATAACAGAGCATGTAGGAAATCAAGAACTAAGGGGAAGGCTGAGATTCAGTTGCTGGACCATGGCCTACAATATCCCAATAACCCTAGAATATAGGTTCTTGGAAGGGATCAGTACATGTATTTTTTTTAAGATTTTATTGATTTATTTGACACAGAGAGACACAGCGAGAGAGGGAATACAAGCAGTGGGAATGGGAGAGGGAGAAGCAGGCTTCCTGCAGAGCAGGGAGCCCAATGCGGGGCTCGATCCCAGGACCCTGGGATCATGACCTGAGCCGAAGGCAGACGCTTAACGACTGAGCCACCCAGGCGCCCCCGGGATCAGTACATATATTATTGAGAACAGAAAAACGTGTTTAGTAGAAGGCTCAATAGTCTGATCAAGAAAATTTTTAATTAAGTTTGAGTAGAATATTGTGAAAATACCCTTATAAAACTCTAAAACCAGACAGTAGGGCAAACCAAAGAGTTAAAAAAATAAAACAAAAAAAAAACAGTTATTCTCAGGAGAATAAGGAAAGGTTTGTGGAACAAAACTCTATGGTTTAGATGTTTTCCTTCCCAGAGAATGCACAATAACTATATTCTTTTTCTCCTGCTGTTACAGTAAACTGCCACATACA